TCATTGTACGAAGTTACTAATTCTAAATCTCCCATTGCTGTAGGTTAAAATTCAATTCAGATCTTTTGTTAATGAACGACAGTGATTTATAGAAATATTAACAAACACAATGTACTGTCTTGATAGGCATACGTATTCATAACTTAATCTTATTGGTGTCAATATGGTTTGTGTAATCCCTTTTAAAGTCTTAGAATAATTGCGAATAGACGATCAATTATACGGATAGTACTCAGGAAGAAAGCACTGTTGGGGAAATGATACTGTCAGGTATAAAGATAGTAAGGTAATAATGTATTATTTTACCCCAGTACTTACACAAACATATTATCGTATAGCCATGACTATACTAAAAATTCTCATATTTGTACAGTTTACGTCATCACTTTTTTATAATCTTTTTTCCAGTCTTTGCAAAATTCATTAAACTCATTACTTGAAAAATAGATTTAAAATTTTCAAACCAACTAATCGTTGAATGAATACACTTGAGAATAAGTCAAATTTCATAGTATTCCATATTTAACCTGAATTTTTTATACTTATGTTGTATTTTCTTGATATTAAAAAAGCAGATATGTAGAACTAGCTTCAGAAAATTTTTAAAACTCATTTTGCTTTAACTTTCTATTTAGAGTTGTAATCCCATGCTCCATTGAGACATTAACACTTGATATTAAATCGATCCTTTTATTTAAAAAAAAAACGTATAAAATAATAAAAAGGATAGCTTTAAAGAGTTTTTAAACTTTAAATAAAATTCACATTCAAATTCAGACAAAATATATATATAATCTCATAAATACACATTTTTTCTTGTTTTTTTAAAGAATAATGTTAAAGTTCTGTCTCAAGAGTATGCACTGATAGAGATTTTACAGTATTATTTTATTAATATTTCAAATGCCTAGCAATATATATAATGTAATAATGTGTTTGTATGTTTAAATAAGGCAATAATCTGATATTACAAAAATAATGGACGTAAAAAATTATCTTAAAGAATCTTCTATGATTTCAGCGTCAGATAAGCACCGATTATAATAACGGAAATTACTATAAAAAAGTCATATATTAAATAATATCTGTATAATTCATTGCAATTAATTTAATCAATTATAATAAACTACGCATACCTAATTTGTCCTTTAAAGTCTGCGTGTCCGGGAGAATGCCCAATTTTCAGTGGGCCATCATTGAATAAAACGAATTTGTTCTCAATGCTTATTGGAGTAGTTGGTTCACAATTTAAATAGATATTAAAACGTTTCAGAGGTACTGAAAGTATGTAGCCAAGATGATACCATTTATTTAATTCAAGCACTTTGCAGTGATGATTAATTCCCAAACAATTTTCAACATTTGTCGAAAGTTGAGCATGTGGAATTGCAGTTGTTGGTGTTAACCAGAATGAAGGAGTACGGATCTCAAATTTTGCACCTAATATTTAAGGTAGAAAAATCAGTATTACAGTAACATCCTAAACACGATTTTAAATTATTTTTAATAATAAAGTATTATACCTTTATGAAAGATAGCAATCCAATTTGAATCATAACTCTCAAGTTTGAATCGTAATGTAACCGAAAGTTCATCTGTCACAGGAGGCAATTCACTATGTTGGATGATAATCTTTTCATCAACTGGAAAGTCTAAAGGCTTAGAAAAAATCTCAAGGCAATCTAAGAGTATTTTAATTCATATTTTTATTAATAAATATGTATACTAATGACACTTGTTTTTGATTTAATTAAAGGAAGTGATTCTTACTAGCAACATTAAGATCCTTAAGTAAGCCTGTTTCTATGTTGTAGACTAAACCATGTATAAAGACTTTACGGCCTCTTTTCCACGCTCTTTGAACAATATCTGTGGCACAAATATTGTAAACTTGCTTTTTGACGTTAAGTTCAACCAATAGTTTATATCGATCTTCAAGCGTTTTATTATCTAACTGAGGTTTATTTAACAAGTAAACCTCTTTGATATTTTGCACCCAAAGGCCAGTGTAACCATTTTGGCCAGTGTGACCATCTTGGTCTTTACCTTATATAAAAATGAGAATGGGGTATTAAAACCTCCAGTTTAACCAGGTCAAAAATTTCCTTTTAATATACTTACTTATTGATGCATTAACACTATCACATCCATAATGGCCTGAAATTATGGCATAATTATAAATTAATACTCTTTAGAAAAAATAGGCTTTACGAAAATCTTACATTTTTGCAATAGAAAATTTAGTTTCTTACTAGCACTATTAATGATGTATTAACGATGTTTTAACGAGGTTTTCCTCGTTAATAGTATTAGTACTATTAAAAATTCCTCTTGACGACCTATATAATCTTAATAATTTATACTAGATCTAGAAGATTTAATGCCATCACCAAAATGTAAGATTTTTGTAAAGTAGCAAACCTCTAGTCATACCGCATACTATTATATGATCAACTTTAAGTTCCTCTATAGTGTATTCTATTACTGATAAAGCACTTAAATCTGTAATATTGAATTGATTAGCAATATTTCGAAAAACAAAGATTTCACCAGGATCTGATCGAGTTATTGTTTCTGGAGAACACCTGCTGTCAGAACAACCTATTATTAAGTTAAATATAAAATTCCGGGAATATATTAATATGCTTTAATATATATATATATATTCCTAAGATATTAGCTATGCGTATCCACAAAATTACTTAACATATATCTTAGCAATAGCATTTTGGATATTTAAAATGGATAGTAGTTGCCTTTAAATCTTACCGATCCACAAAAATTTTGGTTTTTGATCATTATAAATTTCAAAGCAGGCGGGATTTTTCTTTTTCATATCCCTGGCCCAAATTACATTTTCTTCAAATAAATCTTTAATTGGTTTTTTAATTTGTTCAGACATGAGTCAAGTTTGGAATAATTTCAGTATTTAAACTAAGGAGTATCTAATGAAGATGTGAATTATTTGGTTGCGTGTACTACAGATAAAGGTAACCCTTTGGGACATTAAACTAGAAAATCAGAACCTGATAAAAGTCCGAAGCGAAAAATCTGCACACGTGTAACATATACGTATACACTAACTGAAGATCATCACGTGGACCTTCAATTCTCGATTTTCATTCGTAGTTTCCGACAAACCTTGTATGAGGGTGCTCAAATGGAAAAATCCTCGCTACGCTTCGGAAAATAAATAATGACTAAAGTCGTACAGTGAAGAAATTCAAGAACCACATTCGTTTCTTATATAGACTAAGTATAAATATAATTTTTCTTAAATTAACAGCATCAAATAAAGTGTGCATGTAAATACTTTGTTGAGATCAATAATTTAAGAAATGACCACTAATTGATTATACGTTGTTACGACAAAGTATAGTAACCAACTTTAGCATCAGCGTTAGTACGAAAATACATAATGATAACTATTTCTAATTTGTTAGACTTTTGCACATAATTACTACATTTTTTATGCATACGAAATGATCAATTAAACTTTCGCACATACTTTAGTATCTATGATTACTCGCATTGTTAAAACAATTACCTTATTCTTGCGTAATGCTTTTCTTAGCTTAATCGAATCTAATGGAATAACTATAAATAGGGTTATTCTTTGTAAATGAAGGCAGATTTTCCTCTGTTCAGACGAAATAAATAAGAAATACCTACTGCAATATTAGTACTTGTTCGCTATTAATAAATATTTTATGCTTACAATCAGCAACTGAATTGGCAGTACAACAGTAAAGTCTCTCTCTTGTCGTAACAATGTACGTTACTTTAACTTTACAGAGATTATGGTTTTTATATTTTTGAAGAGATATATTTCTTAAATTATCAACTTCAATAAAATATATGTTTAGGTGTGATGCAAGAAATCTAACAATTGACCGTAGCGTAGCAGGCTCAAGCAATGTCCGGGCCTGTGAAAGATTTGTAGTCAGTGCTTCGGTCCCATATCCTAGTTTGTAATTAATTATTTAGAAAATATTTTATTACAATACGTTACTTGCTTTACAATAGAATTTTGTGCACTGCCCGAATATTATACATTCCTTCGACAAAATCCAAGTTAGTACCTGAATACTATACTTGGCAATTGAAATTTTTTTTGCATAGGATTCCGATATCAGTTTTACTAAATCACACCACTGGTGTTGAATCACCAGTGTTTTGTACAACTCGAAAAAAAACAATAAATAAAATAATTAATTAAATATTTGACTAAAGTTAGTAGTTAGAGGTTAGGGTAAGGCACAATATATAGTAAAGTTTTTTATTAGAAGTTAAAAGGTGGTTTTATTAGTAAAATTTTAGGTTATTGGTGTTTTCTTTAAAAAAAAAATACCAGTAGTGTGATTAAGGGTGCTCTCAAGCATCTCTCTCAGTGTAATTAGCTAACTATAGAGATCGTGCACAAGTACTACGATCAATTGAAGTAAATCTTACGGTAATTTTGTCGAAGATTCATGTTGCGAAACGCGGATATTAACTTTTAGCCAATCAGCACAACTCTATGATAAAAAAAGATGGTCTCTGAGCCCATAGGAAGACTTTTTTACATTATTTATACAGTTTAAAGTACTTTTTTCAAAAAAAAATAACCTACGAAGAATAAACAAAAACAAAGTATATAGAAGGGTTTATTAGGGTTGTAGGACTCCAGTATTAAAAATAATCAAAATCATTTTTGGTTTTAGAAAAGTTAGCATGGAAATAACCTAATTATATCCATCTTTAAGAAGTCAATATTATGCTAACTTTCCTAAAACCAGAAATGATTTTGATTATTTTTAATACTGGAGTTCTACAACCCTAATAAAACTTTCTACATACCGGGTTGGTGAAAAGTAACTGAATAGTGA